GACCATGACTTTCCACAGTGGCATTCTTTACAGCAGGTCACACATACTTGGGGAGTATCAGTGACAGGCCAGGTGACGGCATAGCTCCCCTCCTGCCTTTGGCGGTCCCCTCCTCTTCCCGCCCCTCTCACCTGTGCTCCGCGCACCCTGCCTGCCATCCTTCCTGCACGCACTCCCCCGCGCTGCCTTCTCCTGGTTCCTCTTCGGGCTTCAGGGTCACCATATGTATGTCTCGCCCTGGCCTCCGTGCTTCCATTATTGATTTCTCTACCGCCTTCCTGAATCCTGTCTCTGTCCCCGTAGCCGCTAGAGTCATCCTCTAAAAATGTAAGGCATGTTCTGCTGAAAGCCCTCGAGTGGCTTCCCAGTGCATTTGGAGTGGAATGCCCACTCCTTCCCGTGGCTCAGACATTGTCTCCTCAGAGTCGTGCTTGTTGAGAGATTAGTGCCCAGTGTGAGAGCCCAGGGAGATGCAGTTATTTCTGGCTTTGGAGACCCCAGAAAGACTTAACAGAGAAGTGGGATTTGGTCCAGGTCTTGATAAGGAGGATTTCATTGAGATGAAGTTCTGTCCTGAACAAGTGCTTAAAGAGAGTCTCCTGCGTGCTGGGCACTGTCGTGGTCCTGCTTTCTTTGACGAGTAATGATTAATGAGTGGTGTCTTTGAAAGAAAGTTGTTATTTGCAACTGCTTGGCTGTATTGCGACCTCAGTAAATAGCCAAGCGATCCTTAATTTGCTTGAATACCAGGGAGCTTTTCATTCACTAGTAACTATGAGAATAGGATTTGGCAACATTCTCTACCATCCTATATACCTGTTCAGGAAATTTGACCATATTCAGGAATGAATTACTTGACAAAGCCACAGAATTGTAATGTGGTGTCATGGTTTTTGCACTTAAAAAGAAAAGCCAGCTATCTCTAGCCTTCTAATGCCATGTTTTTATCTTAAAATACAAAAGTTAACATCAGGAAGAAAAATGGTGTCGATACTATATATACCAACTACATTTGGTCATAAAATGAAATTTTTGTTTACAACTAACTTAGTGCCTAATCTTCACAAAACTATACCTGAGTAATTTACTGATTTAATCTTTTGTAATTCCTCTACTGACTCAGGATGTTGAAGGCTTTGACCAGGGGTTCATTATGAGGCTTGTTATGATGCAGAGAGAATGGCCATAAAATAAGTATAAAATTTTTGGGTGTTTTTGCTGTGCTGCTTAGATTTTTTTTTTTTTTTTTAAACTTTTCAGTAGCTGTGGTTCTTACCTCTCTCCCTTGTTACTTTCCCTGGAAAACTGCACGTATGTGTACGGTTTCAGCATTTTAGAAATTCACTCATTGACCTTTTCAGCTAGAAGTCTTCCAAGAGAAGGCTGGAAACCCCTGCCAGAAGAGCCCATGAGCTGTCCCATCCAGTTCTGGTGTGACTAAGGCCAGTCCTACTTTAAAGCGGACCCTCTTAAGTATGTCACTGGATAAGAGAGAAATTGGAAAAAAAAAAAAAAAAGAACACATGGAGAATTGTATAGAAACCTAGTTACTACATTTATAGTATATTACAGTACATTGCCTTAATTGTGAGGTTTTTAAGTTCCAGAATATCCTCATTTTATTAGGTTTTGATGATCCTTCCCAAACCCCCAATTTCCTGTCTGGCAAGTAGGCCAAAATAGCATCAGCCCCTGTATTGATTCACCCAGCCTGCATTTGGAGTTGAGGAGCCCATGAAATCCAAAACAGGGTCGTCTCTGGCTTATTTCTTGCGCACCTGTAATTGGGGTTGACATATTGAGTGGCTTTCTTCTCACGTCACAACCAGTTCTGTTTTTGGACACCATCTGGGTGCCCAGCAGCTCAGTTAGTTGTGACACTATCGGGAGGTGGCACAGATGCCACAGGCTAAGGGCTCAATCCCACAAGACTTTCCCCGCTTCCGATGCTGGCTGCCAGTGGGGTGCTTCGGCCACCCTCTTACGCCCTGCTGACTACAAATTCAGGGGTTCCCACGACCCCCCTTCCAGTTTGATAATTCACCACCTTGACCTCCTGAACTTGGGAAGGTGCCTTACTTACTATTACTGATTGACTGTAAAGGATGCCGCTCAGGAAGAGCTAGATGGAAGAGACGCACAGGGCAAGGTGTGGGGCGGGAGCAGCTTCCCCACCCACTGCGGGCATGCTGCCCACCCAGCACCCCGCCCAGAGCTGTTCGGGCGTTTTTATGGAGGTTTCATTACATAGGCATGATTGGTGAAATCATTGGCCATTGGCGAGTGACCTCAATTTCTGGCCCTTCTACCCACCCAGGGGAGAGGGGTGGTACTGAAAATTTCAACCCTATAATCGTGGCTTAGCATTTCTGGCAACCGGCCCCCACCCTGAAGCCTCATTAGCATACCAGAAACTCTCCCGCTGCTCTGGAGGTGCCAGGGTTTTTTTTTTAGGAGCCCTGTGCCAGGAACCGGGACAAAGACCAAATATTTTTTATACCGCAGGATGTCTTTCTCTAGTAAGAAAGGTCCTCATGTTGTGGAAAGGAATGGAAAGACTTGGCTTGGTTTGTCACTCAGCCCCAGCGGGCGGTGTCATCTCCTTCTGGCTGGCCCTTGATGTGGCTTTTCGGAGTGCCGGATGTCTTCTAGGACTGCAGAGTTCTTTGGGCTTATCCTTTTCCTTCACAGCTTGTCACCAGATGCGTGAGGCTCTTGCTGCCTTCCCAGCAGCGCCTCAGCTCTCACCCGCACCTTATTCTTCCTTCTCTTTAGCCTTGGCCCCTCTGGTGCTCCTCGGCTTTGTTCAGAGTTGGATTTGTGTTCTGAACACCTCATTTTGAACTTTTCTTTTCATCTTCATTAGAAAATGAATCAACTGAGTTTTTTGCTTTTTTGGCCTTTGTTGGCTGCTTCGATGTGTTCACTTGGAGATGTCTTTGTTTTAGTGGTTACAGCTTTCCCAGGGATGCGGAAGTCACCAGGCATTTGATTGCTGACTGGTGGTTTGTAGGATAAGCACTAGTTCAAAGCTGTTCGGTTAACCCTGCGCGTCTGCCTTTGGGGTGTCTCCAGGCACCTGCTGTAGAGCCGGGGAGGAAGAAAAGGTGGAGGAAGAAGTTGGGACAGTATCTCTAACTTTCCTGGTTTGGGAATTTTTGAAAACTTTTTTCCTTCTTTTTTTGAGGCATGGAATGACCTGCTGTACAAAATAGGGGTTTTCTGTTGCCCAGCTTTTATGGTCCCGCTGTGACTTTTCTTGAAGAGACAGTATTTCTTGAACCATGGGAATCATATTGTATCTCCAAAAATAATAGTTTTTAAAAACTGGAAAACACTTATCTTAATTAATCTGCAGATTTGTTTATTGAATTGTGACTTACAGTTAGTAGTAAATTTGTTTCTTGGCTTATGTGCTGTAAGAGGCACTTTGCTTTACCTTGTTTCATGTCATCTTTCTGTAGGGCTTTGTAAAATTGTCACTGAAGTGTTTCTCTCCTGAATGGTGAAGAGATTTCAGCTGTTGTGCTGACAAACACTCTAATCAGGCTTTAAAAAATAATCCCAGCTTTAATCATTGGCTTGTTTTTATTCCCAGAACTATTTTACCAAAAAGTTTCAGTGTATTCTATCATAGGGTTTATTTCAGTGCTTGCGCTGCACAAATATTGTTACAAGTTTTTATAAAATTTCTCCAGTGGAAGATGAGAAACAGTTATGGCCCCACCGTTCTGAAGCAGTGGTATTGCTCGGTGCCGTGACCTCCTGTGTCTCCAATGACCCCCTGTCATCCGATCACTCAGCAAGTCAAATAAAACACATACACAGTGTTGAGAGATGGGGCAGAAGTGTGGGCAAGAATCATGGAAGTGACTTTGTCTCTGAGGACATTGCGGAAGAAACCATATGATTTACTGTTTAAAGCCTTTGAAGCAAAAGTAGGTTGGAATGAGCAAAGCTTTGGTTAAAGAGGGGGTTAGATGAGCTGCTCCAGAGCCGCTGTGTGAACCACGGCTCAGGCATCAGATAAGGCCCCTATGCAGGGACTGAGTTACTTGGATTAATAGTCAGCACAGAGCCAACGTACCTGCTTTCTTCTGTTGCTCACTTTTTGTGTTTGATTTTTTAAAAATAAAATGTGGCATGATTAAAGTAAAATTCAAGTCCATCTTTTTTCCTCAATGGTGTTAGAGGATTTTTGAAAGATGAAACTAGTGCTTAGTATGAATTAAGATCATCTCCCCTCATTCTATTTGTTCATGTATCTCGGTCTTACTTGATAACAAATAATTGAAATGAAGCTGAGATTTAAAGCCATTATATTGGAATTGCTCTTTTTAAAAAAATAATTATCTGTGAAGGTTAGAATTAAAATCTAGAAGGATCCCTAGAAAGCAACTCATTTTACTTTTTCATTTTTAAATGAAGAAATGTGAAACATAGGGTGTTACCTTGCCCAATGGGAATCAAGGACCAAGTCACATTGCCAGCCATTGGTTATCAGTGACCGTTCTGTGTCGTAAGGGGCAGATAAGCTTATTAGAATTTGCTGTATATACACACCCTGAGGCACACCTGATGATGAAGGTGGCTTTCAGTAAAGCGGCATCCACAAACAGGCCCCCGATATTATAAACATATATACGATTAAACAGACGATCACTAATTTATACTTGTAGTTGTATTCAGTTTAATGAAAGTGTTAGATACTCACATTTAGAAGAAAACATTTGTATGTGTGTGTCTGTTGCCTGTGTGTTCATGGCTCCTGATCGCCTCCTCATGATCCCTCATTACTCTTTATTTTTAAATCCATTAGACCGTACCCACAGAGGCAGGAAGCTTCTGTCTTGTTCACTGTCGTTTCCAGCACCCAGAACAGCACTCATTGTTGCCTGACTGCCAGGTCGGCTGACTCTGTAACTCTGATTTATATGGCTTTGCGGGCAACCTAACGTATTTTAAATATCTCAAGTTTGCTTTTTTTTTTTTTTAAACAGTGAACAGAGTATCTGTCAGGCAAGAGCTGCTGTGATGGTTTATGATGATGCCAATAAGAAGTGGGTGCCAGCTGGTGGCTCAACTGGGTTCAGCAGAGTCCATATCTATCACCACACAGGCAACAACACATTCCGAGTGGTGGGCAGGAAGATCCAGGACCATCAGGTAAGCGCCTGTTCAACTCTCAGTCACCTGGCATCGCAGAGGGGCTTGGAATGCTCTGTGAAAGAAAGCAGGGCTTCACAACTGTGGTCAGCGTAGTCCCTACGGGGAAAACACAGCCCTGGAGAGCAGCCCTTAAAGTATCTAAATGTTGGCAAAAAAGAAAGTGAATATTTAAAAATAATTAGGAAGATGTCTTTACAAGTAAGGCAATTCCCAAATGAAGCACTGACATTTTTTTTCATAAGAGAAGCAGTCTATCCTGTGCCTTCTAGCTTTTGACAAATGGAGTGTTTTTAAAATGTATGGAAATTTGAAAACAGTTCTAAGTAATTCATGACACCAACATGAAATCATTATGAAGATTAGAGAGTGTTTAGAAAGTAAGGAAGTACTTAGACATGAGTGACAAGTTGTTACGTATAGAAACCTGTGGGATGTGTACGCTGCCCTTAGGTGGACGAAGCTCAGTGACGTGCCGTGAGCTTAAAGAGGAAGCAGAAGGAAATGCTGAAAGTAGATAGAAAGTATTAACGCAAAAGCTGCCCTCCTGAATAGGAACATTGGCAAACGGAAACTAAAAAAAGGACAGGTTACAAATAAACAGTATTAGGATTCGAAAAGATATATAGTATGAAAATAAATTACTGTACAATAATATTATGAATAACTTTATGCTAGTAAGTGGGCCATTTTGTAGAAAAATATAATTTACCAAAACTGGCAGAAAAGTGGAACTTAATAGACCTACAATCATAAAATATATCAATAGTTAATATTCTACCTAAAATTTTATAAAATAGAGGGAGTCAGTACAGAACATTTATAATCAAAATGTAAAAATCTTCAAAACACTACCTGTTAGAAACAAATTGTTTTAAAAACTAGTCTTTTATGAGGCTTGCACAGTTTTGATGTCTAAAATGTAGAACGGTTTGAGAGAGGAGAATTATAAGCCAGCCTCATTTATACACATTGATATAGAAGTCCTCAATAAAATACTAGCAGGCCCAATTCAGCAAAGTACATGAAAAAGAAAAAGACTACCTCTGGACCATAGAGGGCTTATCTCTGTCTCAGTAATATAAGGATAGTGTAACATTAGATAACCTAGTATTGTAATCTACTGAGAAAAGCACTTGGTAAAATTAAAATCTGTAGCTAATAATTCTCAGCACGTTTGAAAATGAATTTTCTTAAGCTGATAAGGGTGACTAATATAAACATTCAGCAAACATCGTCTAGGGCAGGACAGTGTTGGGAGAATTTCCATTAAACTCAGGAATGAGTTGAGGATTTCAGCTTTGATCATTTAGCATTGCAGAGGAGGTCAGTGGTATGAGGATGAAGAAATAGAAGCTATAAGGAGTGAAAAGGCAGAAACAGCTGATTTTAATTCACTGGTGATACACTTGCCTACCAGAAAAATCTCAAGAGTATACAGAGATTAAAATAATACAACTAACAAGATTGTTCAGTAAGGTTGCTGGATACAAGATCAGTATATAAAAGTCAGTAGCATTTTTGTATAACTAGCAAACAACAATTAGAAAATACAATTTTATAAAAATACTAATTGGAGTAACAGAAATGATAATGTACCTATGAATATATCTAATAAAAATTGGTTTCCTCTTATTCCAGAGTACCTTGTTATATTTCTTAATGGTTATCAGTCCTAGTGGAAACATGTTACTACAATTTATTAAATGACATCTAAACTTATTATAGTAAGAGCCATTAAAAAAAATCTCCCATCATTTATTTGTAGAATGGAGCATATATAAATTATATAAACATATTATTAAAATACTTCATTTTTCTACATGTTTTAAGTGGTTATTCTGTTGTAGGCACAGTGATTAGGTTTTATGGGCATAATACAGTGCCCGGCCTTGAAAGAAAGATGCAATAAAGAATGGGGATGTTTGTTAAGCATGTGAGGAAAGAAATACAATAGTAAGTTGTTATGATCTGAAACAAAAAACCATAGACGTGAACCCAGCTTTGGACCTGTGTTTACAAGAGGCATGTGCTAATTTTGAAAGAGGAAACTGAGAAACTAAGTAGACTTTGGAAGGACTAGTAGAGCAAAAATTGAAAGTCAGGCCCTGCTAAAGAGGGAGGGTTATCTTGGTAATCCCCCAGCCCATGGTTTGGGGCCTAGAAATCCCTTATGCTGGGAAGAAGTTTGACTCTCACTTACTTCAATCACTTTTGAATTAAGATGATTTAAGACTGTTAGTTTCCTTTGCCGTTTGCCAAAAGCAAATGTAAATTTTCACTGGAAAAAATAACATCATCATAGGCCTCAAAATGCCTTTAAGTTTGTCCATACGCAGTGTCTGACACTCAATCAGAACACCCAGCCATACGATGAAGCAAGGGGAACAGGAATCGAACAGATCCACTGGGAAGCCAGTTAACGGAACTATCAGAAAGTAGCTTTAAAGTTAACTATGCTTACTATTTTCAAAGAACTATAAGATAAGATTGAGAATTTCAGCTGAGAACTGGATACTTGAAAAAAGAACCAAATGGGAATTTAAGAATTGAAAAATGAAATAGCTCCTATTGACATTTCAGAGATGCGTTTTATAACAACTTAGAAATAGCTAAAAAGAATTAGTAAACTGGAACACACACACACATACACACACACACACACACACACACACAGTCAGAAAAAAATATTCATACTGAAGCTAAGAGAAAAATGTAATATAAAAAGAGTTTAAGAAATATAGGGAATACGGTAAAAAAAAGTATAGTGTGTGTATAATTAGAGTCCCAGAGGGGAGAGGAGAATGGAGCAGGATCATAATTAAAAAGGTAATGAACAAGAATACTCAAAAGTGATGAAAGAATATTAATTTAGAAATTCCATAAACCTTGAGTGTGATAAATAGAAAACCATATATAAATTCATGGTTTACTAAAACCATGTAAACCACTATAAACTAAATACCAAGGTGAAACTCAGGAGCAGTCATTGAAAATAAGGTGACTCCAAAGAAGAACAAGACACCCATCTCACTTCTCAGCAGAGACAAGAAGAGCTGGGAGGCAGTGGACTTCAGAGGACTGTCAGCAAATGAGTGGCCACTTAAAATTCCATACCTTATAAAACATTCTTTAAAGATGAAGGTGAAAAATAAAGGCATTTTCTGACAGACAAAAATGGAGAGAATTGATCACCTGGTCTGCTTTGGAAGAAATTCTTCAAGATGAAAAACGGTCCCAACAGGAGCTTCAAGAAGGCAGAAGGAAGAAAAAGCAACAGAAAACATAAATATTGACCTTAGCTGATCATCGACTGTATAAAACCAAGATTGTGCCTTACGGGGTTTAAAATATGCACAGAAGAAGGATGTCCTGTTTCTTGATCAGGAGTTTGGCTACATGGGAATGTTCACTGAGATACATGTTTAAAATATTTAAAAAAAATTTTTTTTTTTAATCCTCACCCAAAGATACATTTATTGATTTTGGAGAGAGAAAAGGGTGGGGTGGGGAGAGAATGAGAAACATCTGTGTGAGAGGGAAACATTGATTGGTGGCCTCCTGCTTGTGCCCCAGCCAGGGATCAAACCCACATCCTCAGTATGTGCCGACTGGGAATCGAACCTGCAGCCGTTTGGTGTACGGGATGGTGCTCTAGCCAACTGAGCCACTTGGCAAGGGCACGTGCTTAAGTTTTATACACTTTGTGGTTTTACAATACTTCAGGAAACATGTTAAAATGTATTTAATGAGGGATATAGATTTCCTTCTGTTTTCCTGGTTTACTGTTTTAAGGCCAGCCCTTTGTAACCATCAGGCAGCTTAACTTTCATTGGACTGTCGTTTCTGCGACCGATTTCACCCTGGACAGCTGTTTTAACCCCTTTTTGCCAAGGTCTGCTCAGAACAGATTTGAATGAGTGACCGTCTGTGCAACCAGGATTTGTTGACTTTGCTGATGTTGCCGGCTACGAGCTTGACTGTATAAAGAACTGTTGTCTTTTAGGTGGTGATAAATTGTGCCATTCCTAAAGGGCTGAAGTACAACCAAGCCACCCAGACCTTCCACCAATGGCGAGATGCTAGACAGGTGTACGGTCTCAACTTCGGCAGCAAAGAGGATGCCAATGTCTTTGCAAGTGCCATGATGCACGCCTTAGAAGTGTTGAATTCACAGGAAACAGGTGAGGTGCCTGTGGTTGACTTGTTTTCTTGAAGTGAAGTATCATGTGTAAGTTAAAACAAATCTTTTCTGACCAGCTGTTAAGTCATCTGTGTGTTTGAAGTAACTGGAATTTCTGTTGTTCTCTACAGAAAAGTGAACTTTTATTTGTCGATTACACACGTAGTATGTCAGGATAGCCATGTGAGATTGGTTCATTAGTAGTTTGTGAACAGTCGCATTGGAAGTCTCTTAGGTCTGTTCCCCCTGCTCTAGAATCTCAACTTTCAGTACAAGGGTATGAGGCCTGGAGAATGTGCAGTGGATAGAAGTTATGCACGTTCGTCTTCATCACAGACTTTATGAAGCAACGTGTGGTTTCTGAAACATATTTTTTTAAGCCACTGGTGAGGCCTTGAACTTCAAGGAGGACCAGGTCTCCTTCATCCCAGTCGATACAAATTTGATTCTAAAAGTTGTTGCAAGATTTTAGGAGTGCCCTCAGGTGGTTTAAGCTGTGAATTGCATCTCCCCCCACAGGGCATGTTGGTTAGACAGCTGTGTAGAAATAATCCACTTTAAAAAACCCGAGAATTTAAGATGGTGTATGAATCAGAGATGAGGTCTGTTTTTGTTTTTTGTTTAAAAAACATAAGAAATACACCAAAGTATTGCTGTCTCTTTGAGGAGATAGATTTTTATACTCAGAAAATAAATGTTTGTATATAAAACAATACAAATATGATTACTCTTCGCTTTGTTGTATATTTAATGGTGACCCATATGATATGGATGTTCTATAAAAATTTATTTATATATCTTAAGAAGAAGGATTTATATAGTCACATTAAGATTTGATATTTTGTTGAAGGTTGAGAATTTCAAAACCTAATACAGATACACTAAAATTTACTTATTCTGTAAAATTTTTGTAAAAAGAATTGAAACATGTCCATGTTTTAGTTTATTTCAAATGTGAATTTCAGAGCAGGAATATATTTTTGAGTCGTGGTAGAAACTAAGTATTATGCCTAGAGGTGGTTTCCATTAGATCCCCTTTGAGGAAATTAGCGGCTGTATAAATAATTTGTACATACCTCTCATAGCTTATCTATTTTGAGAAAATAAACCACTTCTCCTGGTTTGTCAATAAGTCCAGAAAATAGCCTAGAAAAATCTGCATGTATATAGTCTTATATGTAGATTGTCAGAGTCACTGTACTTAACCTCGCAGACATCAGTATTTTATTGGCATTCTATTGTAGGTATAGAATTGCTTTTCTTTTACCATAGTTCTGTTGTAGAAAAGAAACTAGAGTTGTCGTTCTCAATATCTTATTAGGTGGGTCAGCTACATAATAAGATAATTAAAGGGTAATTAAAGGACCAAAGTTTAGAATAGTATATGTATGACAATCATATTTGGCCTCTCTGTATTTGGAACAAGCTAGAATTTTAATTTCTAAATCTTCAAAAGAGTATTTACTGATATTAGGAGCTAAATGTTACTAATTTAAAGTTAAAATTGTTGTTATCTTGTCCTCAGTTTTTTTTAACCAAATGGAAAGCGTTGTTTTTTTTTAATCAGTGTGTAGTCATACAGTTTGCTTTTAAAATGCAAAGCTAATTAATGTTTTTTTTTTCTATTTCTTTCCTGATCTTGATCTTTGGAAATTAATGTGTCCTAATGTGGAGAGACTCAATTACATTCTCTGTAATTTCCACATTACAGAAAGTTCGGCAAGTGAGAAAATTGCCCATCATTTACACAAGCATTTTGGAAAGGCAAGGGCATTTAGTAGCTCCTTCCTAGATGATTTGGAAACTTTGCTCTCTTCTGTCAGAACCCCCACCCGTAAGACCACGGGAAAGAGAAAGCGAGGTGGAAGAAGTTGGCCCACCCGTGTCATCTGCTTGCATCATGCCCAGGTCAAGGCAAAGAGGCTTTGGGTCTATAGCTTTTTCATCAGAAAAAACAAAGCCTGTAAAATGGTTGGTGTTTTCCATAGTCTGGTCTATGTGGAAAATGACTTTCCATGAATTACTGTAGTTTAACACTGATTTCTGATTTTTTGATGCTGTTGATTGGTTTGGAAGTGGAGGCATGGGAGGAGGTAGATGCCAGGCATCAGAAGTGTCCTGGGGGAAAAGGCAGTTCTTTCTGTAGCCTCCACCAAAGTAGGACAGCTGTGTACCCTGCCCGGGTTTACTTTGTACGCCCCCTCCCGCTCACGCAGACGGACATACCCAGTCACATCTCCTCGCATCTTGAACATCCCTTTCCCTCCCCCCACAGCTGCTGCTTTCGGGCGCACAGCTAGTTTTTTGCTAAAACTGTCCATTGTCTTTCTGCCAAAACCAGGTTGAAAAAGGTTAACCTGTGTGTCCCCTCCCTAAACAAACAATACACCAAATGCACCAAATTAATCTCTGATCAGAGGCAAAAGAAACAAATATATTCGTAAAGGTAAAGCAACTACAGATGTAGGCTTCCCTACTTCTTAATGTTTTACCATTTTTATAAAACCATTTTCTCCCATGAATGATTCTGTTTGCTGTTTTATTTGGTGTTAATGTCAGTATTATTCATTGAATATTGGTGAGTCCTTAGTGATTTTCAGACTTCTTAAAGTCATAGACACATTTGTTCAAACAATTTTTTCCAGAGACCCAATGGATAAACAGACAAAAAAAAGAAAGAAAGAAAGAAAAAAAGAAAGAAAGAAAAAGAGCTTTTCTAATGTACGTGGGGCCTTGGAAGCTCCCAAGCACTTACAGGGTTCTCCAGAGCAGGATTAGAAAATTACTGACCTATCTTTTTTTACCAAAACCACTAATTACAGAATTCTCCCTTCCTCTCTCCCTTGTTCCCTAAGGCCTCTAAATCCTCAAACAAATTTGTTAAAATGAGGAAAAAATAGCTTTCTTTGGGGCTCATCATGCTGACCTTTACAAGGTGCGCTGTGTTTAATATTTCGATTTCTTAGGGAAAGGGTGGGTGGCAGACATGTTTTCCTTTATTTTGTTTGAACTTGGTGTGCAATTATCTAATATACTGGAAAGTACAGGAGGTGCTAAATACAGCGAGTTATATTTGGAATTTAAAAAACACAAATCACATGTAGAGTTGAAATAGTGTTCTTCCTTTTATAGCAAGTGCTACAGTTTCTCTCTTTTGGTTGTCTAATGGAAGTGGACTCGATTTTACACAGGTGCATTGAAAATGCATTATTCAGACTGACATTTGGGGTTTCTGTATTATTTATCAGCTATCTGTATAGCAGTTTTGTAGATAATAGTTAGGGATTATATAAAATATAAAGTCGGTCCTTGTGATGATTGGTGGAGGTGAGTTTGCAGAGTCTGTTTCATTTTGAAAAATGTTTAAGTCATTTGAAAATAGAAAATAATTTTTAAATGCATTTTAAAAGGAAAACCATATGCATGGCCAGTAAGATTATTCCACTGCTTGTGTTCTGCTCAAGATTAGGTATACCTTGGTGAGAAGAAAAGCTTAATATTTTGCCATGGCTAAAACTGCCCTTGCTCTGTTATTAAAAAAAAAAAATTTATTGATAATGAGAACATAGTCAAAGATACCCCCGTTTGAAATTTTCTTTAGGCTTTATAAATAAATATAAATACTGAGATTCCAGCCATTATTTTTTTCTTACTGATAATTTGGCCTGATATAACTTTTAATATGAGCATTGGTATAAATTTTATCTCAGCATTTTTTAATCTTTTTGAAATTTTTAAAATATTAATTGAATTTTAAGAAATCTCAGAAAGTTTCTAGAAATACCTTACATTCGCAGTGGCACTTTGATTTCCCAGATTGCCGGTTTTCCTGAGAGCAAGGTTAAGGTTATCCCACGGAAGCCACGAGATGTGCCTTGAGTTTAGGTGCTGTGCTGGGTGCTGGGAGGCACACGAATGTGATAAAGTGGCCTGTTCTCTGCCTTCCAGGATTTCATAACTGGGTGGAAGCTACTAGAAACAAGGACAGCAAAATTAGAATACAGCTTGTAAAATGTTGTGAGTGAGGGTGCAGAAAGGCCTTAGGAATACTAAAGAAAATTCCAGGGTTAAGGAGCTTTCTGAAGAGGAGCTGACGGTTGAGCTAGCTTTTGAAGAATGAATAGGTCTCCAGAACATTCCGGGTAGGCGTGGAGGCACGAGAGTATGTATGGGAAGAGGGAAACCCTAAGAAGTAAAACTGGAAAGGGTGGGAAGAACCTTGCGTTCTTGCCGAGAAGCGTGTATGTTATGTTGGTCAGTGGTCCATGGAAAGGTGCTAAATAAATGCTCGATGTAACTAATCAGGTGTGTGCTTTAGACCAGATGTAATGGAGATGACAGAGGTCAGTTTAGGACGCTGTGGGATAGTATTTGTGAGAAAGATGAGGCCTGAAATGGCACAGTGTAAGGAGAGGAGCAGAGTGACGAGGCCCTGACTGGTGTGGCTCTGGTGGTTGGGCGTCCTCTTGCGAACTGAAAGGTCGCCAGTTCGATGCCAGGTCCCTGGACGTTTCTCTCCCTTTCTACCTCCCTCCTGTCCCTCTCTCTTAAAAATAAATTAAAAAAATATTTTTTTAAACAGTGAAAAGGACATAACACACTTTTATTTAGTGCCCACTGTAGCTGCCAAGCCATTGTTCTAGGCCTTCAGCTTAGCTTCTCGTTTAGTTGTTACAGCGCTTCTGAGGGATGGCTGCCTGCTGTGTGCCAGTCCTCGTTGGGCGCCTGTCTTACTGGTAATGGTTTTAACAGCTGCGCAATATGGGGCATCACCTTCGTTTTAGAGAGGTGAGCCTGGGTCACCGGGCTTGCCCAGGGGCCCGTGGCTGGCCCCTTGCACCACTGTCCCTTTTTTCACCCCTGTGGGGTTGATTTGTATCAAAACACTTCAAACCGTTCATTTCTGGGCTGTTTAAGGAATTTGGCAAAACCAAAGTTGGTGACAAGGCTAATATAATGACATTGGCAGATTTTATTTGCAAAATGAATATCAAATTATTC